ATAATAACGCGGGATCTTGGGTGTATGATAACCCCCGAGGGAAAACGAAAGGGATAAAGCCATACGCAAAAACCGGTACTGCGTTTCCATACTCCCAGATCCCCGGGTTATGATTGGGCAATGTGATCGGACTAGAAGACAAAGCCAGAGCAGAGGAAATTTAAGTGAAGACGCGCCGGGGCAATTGATGACGATTGGATTGGCCCGCAAGTTCTAGTATATTAACTTTTGATTGGAGGAAGCCTGATCGAAAAAGTAGAAATTGTGTTTGGAGTCTCGGCACCAAATGTAATAAGAGAAAAAGTGTTTTCCCCGGAGAAAATTTTGGTTGCAGTTTCGATTTTTGGTAAAAAAAGGAAGGTTATAACCTCTGCCTTTTTTTGAGCCCGCGAAAAAAAAATTCTCAGATCGACCCGAAAAAAAAATTTTCTTATTAGAATGGCCTGTAGAGTCCATAATTACCAAATGATAAGTCAAATTCAGCTTGAATTCGAAATTGGTTTCTCTACTTTGAGAGCTATCAAATAGAATGTGCCTGTAGAATCCATATTCAAACATTCCAGATGGCTACAGTTCAAAAGTTACAGCCCTTTGAATTTTTTTCGAAATTGGTTTCTAGTCTATAACTTTTGATTGAGAAGTCTGATCGAAAAAAGTACAAATTGGTTTGGACTCTACGCACCCAAAGTAATAAGAAAAAAGTGTTTTCCCGAGAAATTTGGTGTAGTCGATTTTTGGTAAAAAAGGAAGGTTACTATCACTGCCTTTTTTTGAGCCCCGAAGAAAATTAAATTGGTCTCAAGATCGACCATGGAAAAAAAAATTTTCTTATGAATGTGGCCTGTAGAATCCTTAATTTCAAACAGTTCACAGTTGGGCTACTTCAGTTCAAAAGTTACAGCCCTTTGAATTTTTTTTCGAAATTGGATTTCTTAGTCTAGAAATTTTTGACTGAGAAGTCTGATCGAAAAGTACGAATTACTTTGGATTCTACGCACCAAAATTAATAAGAAAAAGTGTTTTCCCGAAAATTTTGGTTGCAGTCGATTTTTTGTAAAAAAGGAAGGTTATACACTGCCTTTTTTGAGGCCCCGAAAAAAAAGTTCTCAGATCGACCCGGAAAAAAAATTTTCTTATAGATCGGCTGTTGAATCCATAATTTAAACAGTTCCAAGATTGGGCTACTAGTTCAAAAGTTACAGCCCTTTGAATTTTTTTTCGAAATTGGTTTCTAGTCTAGAATTTTTGATTGAGAAGTCTGATCGAAAAAAGTACGAATTGTTTTGGATTTCTTAGCCACCAAAATTAATACAAAAAGTGTTTTTCCCGAGAAATTTTGGCTGTAGTCGATTTTGGTAAAAAGGAAGGTTATACACTGCCTTTTTTGAGCCCCGAAAAATAAATTGTCTCAGATCGACCTGGAAAAAAATTTTCTTTTTAGAATGTGGCCCTGTTAGAATCCATAATTTCAAAAAACATTTCCAAGATTGGGTACTAGTTCAAAAGTTACAG